TATGAAGTCAAAAAGTGGGAAGTTGAATATAGTAAAACACATAGGATAAGTTGAATGTGATTCCCCACCCCCAAAACATACATCATCCAATTAATGGACATTCAACTTCAACACATTCACTAAATTGCTATTTAAATGAATGGACTATAAGTATACAAAATGGGATTTAATTTCGAATTATTGAAATAATATTTATTTAAATTAAAACTAAATTTCTGTTTAATTTAATATCAAATCAAGACTAATTTTAGATTATATTATATCCAACTAAAATTTAGTTATATTAAATGGAATACTATATTTTTATTCATCTAACTTTTAAACTTTATTAAAGTCCATTTTGTATACAAAAATCCATAATAAATTAAAAAGTTATGTATGACATAATTTTTAAATTAACATGTTATGAACATAAGAATACAATGATTATAATATACTGCGCATCTTTGAACATCAGGCAAAATTTGCAATCAGCCCAAGATGTTCTAATTTGGACATAATAGTTGTAAAAAAAAAAATTGTTTTTAAGTAGGTAATATAATTTTTGTGTAATAAATGACATTTAATTGTGAAGTAAATGTAAAACCAATGTTCCAACTACTATGATTTTCTTCACACAATAACAAACTGAAGTCAATCACCAATTATAGCATGCGTTTCTTAATCACTCTTAAAATCTCCATTATTTCATCACCCATCTAACTTCAATCCAACATATTTAACGATCTTTTCTTGATCATCCATGCAATTAAGTGGAATGCAAGGTATTGAAAGATTCAAATCAAACAAGGTAAGTATTTAATGATCTTTTCTCCATAGATGTTTGTTATTAGTTGTGTTATGTCCACAACTCTTATCTTCTTATTTTGATAGGCAGAAATAATAGTGATTTCTTCAACATGAGATTGTTAATTTTTTTTGCTTAGGTATAATCGAAACAAATGGAAAAAAGAAAACTGGTTCTTATAGACTTAAATAGTGATATAGCAGATGACATATTGCATGATTTTGAAAATGATGAATATCAACACATGGACTTCCATCAGAAAAGCAAGGATGAGTTAGCATCCAATGAAGCCATTGCAAGCAAGGACGAGTTAACATCAATTGAAGACATTGCAATGAGGGAAGATTTAACATCTACAGAAGTCCTTGCAATGACATTTATATCACATGAAGATGCCGGACAATTTTATAACACATATGGTAGATGTGCTAGTTTTAGTGTTCGTAAGGATGACCTAAAGCATGACAAGAATAACATGCCAATTTCAAGACGGTGGGTTTGTTCCAGAGAAGGGTATCGGTCCGCAAAGAATGCAGAATGCGTAGAGCGATCAAGGGAACCTCGAGGGTTAACACGACTTGGATGCAAGGCAACATTTTGAGTGAAGTTTGATAGGAAGACACAAAAATGGGTTGTAAAAGAGTTTGTAATGGACCACAACCATGAATTGGTTTCACAACGTGGTGTTCCACTTCTCCGATCACACAGGCGTGTCAAGAGCCCCGACAGAGCACAAGCTATATCATTGCACAATGTTGGTATGCGTACAAGTCATATTAGGGATTTCATGTTGCAAGAATCTGGAGGATATCAAAATGTTGGGTTTACCACAAAGGATCTCTACAATGACATGACATCCTACCATAGAGAAGAGTTGAGAGACGGTGATGCAGAGGGCGCATTAGCCTACTTGAGCGCGAAGGAAGAGTTGGACCCGTAATTCTATTTCAAGTATTCTGTCACCGATGACAATTCGTTGAATTGCTTGTTTTGGGTTGATTCGACATCTCGAATAGATTACAAGTGCTCTGGTGAGGTGGTGACGTTTGATACTACATATCGAATGAATGCCTATAAGAAGCCGTTTGTGATATTTGCCGGTGTCAACCACCACAACACTACAACTATCTTTGGGTGCGCATTACTTTCAGACGAGACGATTGATACATATGTGTGGGTATTGAATACCTTTCTTCATGCAATGGAAAACAAGATGCCTATATCTGTTATTACGGATGGAGATAAAGCAATGGCTGATGCAATTGAAAGAGTATTTTCTCAAGCGATGCATCACTTATGCAGATGGCATTTGTCAAGAAATGCCTTCACAAATATAAATGCTAAAAATTTTGTCAATGCATTTCAGAGGTGCATGTGTGCTTGATGCACTCCGGAAGAATTTGAAAATGGGTGGAAATCAATGGTCGAATCATTTGGACAGGAGACAAACAATTGGATAGCGGAAGTTTATGCAAAGCAATTCAAATGGGCCGAAGCGTACTTGCGAGGAAAATTTTTTGTCGACTTAAAAAGCACGCAACGATCGAAGAGTATGAATGCCTACCTGAAACGCTTTCTAAAAATAAGCCAATGATTATTCGAGTTTGTTAGGCATTATGACAGGGGCTTGGCAAGGATCAGGGAGTGCGAGGCCAATGATGACTTTGAGTCGGAACATTCGAGGCCAGTGATGCAGACTGCACTGAGATGCTTAGAGGAGCATGCTGCTGCTCTATATACCAGAAATATTTTCTTCAAGGTCCATGATAAGATACAATAAGAAGCTATATTTTTTGTAGTGGATAAGATCGAGATTGAAAGTCATCAGAGTTACTATTTGTCTCGATTCACAAAACCAGAATCACGGTGGATTGTGCGATATTATCCTCAAATTGATGCGTTTAAGTGCAATTGCATGAAATTTGAGTCTTTTGGGATTCCATGCTCTCACATGATCGCGGTCATGAAGTATGAGCACATACAAGAGTTTCCTCATACCATTGTGATGGACAGGTGGGCCATTAAAGCAAAATCTAGGTATAAATGTGCACATGAATGTGGTAACGTGCAGCCGAATGTGTCAATTCCTACGCGTTATGCTGGACTTATGTCAATGTGCAGCCAAATGTGTTATTACGGTTCACATTCGCTCTCAGACTCAAATGACCTGAGGAGTATGGTGCAACAAAGAACTTCTCTTCTAAAAGCCCGTTATGAGTCACTTGGCAAACACGATACAAACGTGACGACTACACAATTCAGTGTGAATGATCCAAAGATTGTGAAAACCAAAGGTAATCATAGTCGTGCACAAAAGAATATTCCAATCAACTCGCGAAGATGTAGTAAATGCAAGGGCATTGCCCATACTATTAGAAAATGTCCACTCTTGACATCTCAATCCAGTGATCCATTCGAGGATATGACTTTTTCACAACCAGTTGGATCACAGCCACCACAGGACATTCTTTTTTCACAACATAGTAGATCAGACCAACCACCCCACATGTCTTTTTCACAGCATGGTGGATCGCAACAATATATGCCATCATTGAAAGAGGATGATTGTTGCATTCCCTTTGTCAGCGAGGGTATCCTCAACTATAGGTTCATATAATACTCTTTGGATGTTTATATTTTTTTTTGCATATGTACTCATTCCTTGTTATTTTAGGATGGGCTGTCAAGCTTTGATTCTACCATTCAATCACAGTACATCAACACTAGTTTCAATGGAGGTAATTACAAAAATTATAAATTTTATCCCACAAATTTTGTTTTTCCACCATTGTCATCTAACCATCAATTTATGCTATCACAGTGGGCACCAACATCATGGAGCAAGATGGGTTAAAGATATTTTAATTTTTTTGCAACTTTGAATGAAAATGTTTAATTTACATTCTCCATTCCAAGTTTTTTTTTTCGCTTTTTTGGACGAAGAAGAGGGCAGGAAAAACATATTATGAGTTGAGTATTGCTTGTTAAAACATATTTCCCTCTTCGCTTTTTTGTTGCTTTGGTGAGTATTGCTTGTTAATTTCTACTAGTATGAGTTATTATAACAGTCTAAGCCATAGCCATGATTTTTTATGCACCAATGCCGAACTAAATATGTTTTATTGTGCATTCCCACAACTTTTTGGTTTTAGCATTATCACTTTTATTTGGTAAGATTACCAATTATTTGAGGTAAGATTACCACTTTTGAGGGAAAAATTACCATTGTTTTGGTTAATATTATCATTTTTATTAAGAGTACTTTTTTTTTTGTTAATATTACTATTTTTTTGGTTAAGAGTACCATTTTTTTGGTTAAAAGTAGCACTTTTTTTTGTTAATATTACCACTTTTTTGGTTAACATTACCACTGGTTAAGACTACCATTTTTTTGGTTAATATTACCACTTTTTTGGTTAAGAGTACCACTTTTTTTGTTAATATTATCATTTTTTTAGTTAAGAGTACCACTTTTTTGGTTAACATTACCATTAGTTAAAAGTACAATTTTTTGGTTAATATTACCACTGTTTTGGTTATGAGTACCACTTTTATTGATAACATTACCAATTTTTTGGTTAAGAGTATCACTTTTTTGATTAACATTACCACTGTTTAAGTTAAGATTACAACTTTTTTGGTTTACATTACCACTATTTTGTTTAACATTACCATTTATTAGGTTAAGTGTACCACTATTTTTTAGTTAAGAGTACCACTTTTTTGGTTAAGAGTACCACAATTTTGGTTAACATTACCATTGATTAGGTTAGCACTACCACTTTTTTGGTTAATATTGTTTTGGTTAACATTACCATGGATTTTTTGTTGAGAGTACCACTTTTTTGGTTAACATTACCACTGTTTTGGTTAATATTACCACTTTTTTGGTTAACATTACCACTTTTTGGGGTGGTTAAGATTACAACATTTTTGTGTGTAACATTATCACTTGTATTTGATAAGAATACCACATTTTTCTATAAGATTACCCATTATTTGAAGCAAGATTATCACTTTTTTGGGTAATATCATCAATTTTTAGGGAGGATTACCACTTTTGAGGAACATATTACTACAGACACTGTTTTTACCAAAATAAAAAAGTAACTGTTTACAGAAAACAAAACCAGAAAAATAGATTTTCTGTTTTTGTAACGGATTTTCTGTTGCAAATTCTAAGACAAAAACCAGATAAAACTGGTACATTTTCCTAAACCAGCTGAAAATACGCCAAGCAGTAACTCTTCAGCTTCCACCCTCCAAATTCAGTAGGATATTGACAGCTCAGAATCAGCCCACACCACAGCTTTGCAGCATCAGAGGCTCTGTAGAGGCAGCTCAACAGCTCCAAGACTAGCCCAGCAATCAGCAACACTAGCTCAGTAACTCAACAGCTCCAGGATACTAAGCCCAACAGCAATAGCTCAACAGCAACAGGATACCAACTCCAGTTCACTGCATACAACACCCCAGCAAACACCTATTTAACCTTTATCATCAAATACCATAGAAGTCTTAGTGCGCAAAATACGAAGACCTCTTTCATCATGCAGCCTCTGCCTGACAACACTGGAAGCTGGCCACTTATAGAAAATTCAATAAACTGTATAATCCATGATCTAAAGTAAACTGGAAAATCAACTTCTCTATCAACATGATCCAAAGTAAACTGTAATCTGCTCAACAAAGACTGAATTTGTTCCAAAAGACTCAGCAAATGCCAAGCACAACCCATAAAGCCCTTAACAGTCCTGACTAAAAAAAATATTACATAACTCCAAACAAGAACATTAATAACAATTTGTTCCTTGTTTCAGTCTCACTGCTAGACACAATGGTGACAACACCAAGCACCAGAAATAAACTGTAATAAGAAGATTAACCTCGGCGTTTAAAATTGAATTCTTTACATGATCCTTTAAAAAACTAGACCGTTCTTTGTCTCTCTCAAGACTCCTCAAATCCACCATAATCCCCAAAACAAAAGGGTTGAAAATAATAACACGGGTATTATATACAACAAAGGAAACAATACGGCACAATCACATTAATTCCTTGTACATTGTAGGATATTTCCTCATCATCACACAGTGAAAAATAGATAATATTATCACCACCTTTCACTGAATAATAAGAAACGTCTTTAGTGAATAATGCACAAAAACTGAGAGAGAGAGATGGAAATCCATATGCATATATTTGTTTCATCACATTACTACTACTATTTCAACTATTGTATCAACAACCAACANATATGCATATATTTGTTTCATCACATTTCACTACTGCTACTTCAACTATTGTATCAACAACCAACAACTACAATTACATATAATTCTCACTTCCTAGCTGTTTCTTTGCTTTTCATAAAAAAAGACTCAACTCTATCCCACCTACTATCTATTTTATCCAACCTACTATCAATCACCTTGAGAGACTCCTTTATTTCTTTTTGAGTATTTCCAAATTCCTTCATCATTCTTCCCATTCGTATCATCACAGATGCATATATAGACAATCGTTCATCCAATGAAGGANATTTTATCCAACCTACTATCAATCACCTTGAGAGACTCCTTTATTTCATTTTGAGTATTTCCAAATTCCTCCATCATTCTTCCCATTCGTATCATCACAGATGCATATATAGACAATCGTTCATCCAATGAAGGAAGACCACTTGTGAAAGAATTTGGAACAACTTGGGCTACAATATTATCCTCAGGTGCAACTTCATTTTGGATTTCAACTTGTGGCTGTTGTGGCTGAGTTTTCTTATTCTTCTCTTTCCCCAAACTTTGTTGTGGCTGAGTTTTCTTATTCTTCCCTTGTCCCAAACTCTTTTTTATTGTCCCACCATTAATTGGATTCATGGGAGTAGAATAAGCATCGCTTGAGTANGAGTTTTCTTATTCTTCTCTTTCCCCAAACTTTGTTGTGGCTGAGTTTTCTTATTCTTCCCTTGTCCCAAACCCTTTTTTATTGTCCCACCATTAATTGGATTCATGGGAGTAGAATAAGCATCACTTGAGTGAATCACAACTCCACAATCCTCCATAATCTTTGAAATCAAAATTGAAAATGAGAGACATTTTCGACTATCATTCGTACCGTGTGCTGAAATAATTTCATCAATTATTAAACAAGGTAGATCTATACTCATACCCGTTCCAATGACATACAAGAGATAAGCTCGATCTAGTCCAAAATCAGCATTATGTGCAATTAGACGAATATTGTACCTCACTATAAGGTTTAAAATCCTATATTTAGGAGTCAGGTGTTGCTGAAAAAATGATGGATCAGTAACACTCTCACTAAAATTATTAGGTATACCCTCGATTTCTGTATAAACATCTTCCAACTTAGGTATGTGCTTAGAATTATTGAATGGATAAGAAAGTGTATCATCATGAAGGAAGGGTCGGTGAACTCCCAATATTTTTGAAACTAAATCTGGGGTTACTTCAAAACTCACCTTCCTCACAAGGGACTTAAACTTGAGATTAACTTTATCAATATCATGCAGGTTAGAATAAAATATCTTCACCAATGTATTATATGCTTTATCCATCTTCTTAATATGAACTAAAGAATTCCATCGATGAAGAGCAAAAATAACATCTAATCCTACATCTTTTAATTCATCCAGTACAACACCCCTCTCCAATAACAAAGGTCTATTATAAAAGCAATTATCATACCAATGTTTGCAATCATCATTGAAGAAAGATATGTCTTCATTGGATGAACTTGTTGGATTGGGATTGGTGTTGGGTGAACTTGATGTATTGAATGAGGGATCAACTAGATTGGTCGAGGTGGGATCAACAATGGGATCAATTTGAAATATATTATTTGATGGACTATGGCAGTGGCTGCGGGTATGGGAGTCCATCTTTGAATTAAAGGCTTGAATGATTTACCAACTCAAACTTTCATTTCTCTGTTTTAATAAAGTGAACATTGTTCAAGTTCTTTTGAATCATATGTTTCACCATTTTTGCCTTCTTTCTTCCTTTTTTTTAAAGCTTCGACTAAGTTCTCATATATGTGTGTTATGTGATAAATAGTGTGTGCTATGTGTGCATCAAGTGTGTGCACAATGCATGGTGAGTGCTCTGCTTATGGAACACCTCTATGGCATTTGATCGAACACTTGATGGACATTATTCGAAGTAAGTGTTTGGAAGAGAAACAAAGGCAGAGGAGAGTGGCAATGGAGAGAGAGAAAAAAACAGTGGAGAGAGAAGCAGAAAGAGAGAGCGAGGGAGAGAAGTAGATAGTTTTAGCATGTACCTGGAATCAATCGGAGCAACGAAGAGTTCCAACATAGAGTCCATGTAGTATGAGCAGCGGAGAGAGATGAAGACAGAGAGAGAGAGCAACGACTAGAATCAATTGTTTTGGGTTTTCACGGATTTGGGGTTTTGGGTTTTCACCAGTTTGGGTTTTCACCGATTTGGGAGGTGGTTGATCCAAAAATGGTTGTGATTTAGGGTTTTGGTATGCAATGAGGTTGGTTTTTCACCCATTTGGGTTAGATTTGGGGTTTGATCGCTGATTTAGGGTTTTGAGGAGTTTGGGGGAATAGAAGACAAGAGAGTTGAGAGAGACTTGAGAGTCTTGAGCGATTTGGAGTTATCTCTTATCTTGATCGCTAACAAAAATCTCGATCGCGTATGTAGCGATCGGTAGCGATCAAGTTGCAAAATAATTTCGTTGGCTAATCTCGATCATTCAAGATATGTCCAATAAATTTCACTTATACCCCTAATTTTAACTTAACCCAAAATATAACCCCAACAAATGGCAATTTTACCCAAATATTGTAAAATTTTCCTTATATTTTTATTTCAGGTTTAAATATGATAAATAACTATCATTTTTTAAAACTAATTTTAATTTCTATTATCACTTAAAATAGTGGT